AGTCCCAGCAACGTTATAATCAAACAAAACGGCAGTGCTAGTTCGACGGAAACTAATTACGCAGCACTTTGAGACGCACAGGACCATAAAATTACGTTCACACCAATCATTAAAGATTTCAAGAAGGTTTTGTAGTTCTAAACAGTCGGCATAGCCTCGAACGACTAGATAAATTTTCAAGTCATCGGCAAAAAACAATTTACCTCCACGTAGTAGAATAAACGAGGTCATCGTTCACAAATAAAGAGAAGAGCAGTGGTCCCAAAGTGCTACCCTGTGGAACTCCTGATCTGTTCGAGAAACAGTACGATGAGTTGTTTCCAATGCATACAGTAACTTCACGTTGCACGAGGTACGATCTAAGCCAGCTGCAGAAGGATACAGAACATCCAATTTGTTCAAGCTTTGCTAGCAGCAGTGATGCAAAATATCATGACACTCACGTGACACTCGTCTTCGCATCAACCGACTATCATTGACAGATCGTTTTGTAACGCAGTGAGAGTTAGAGCCATGGCAAACAACAATCACCAGTGATGGTCGCTGCTCACAAGCAAAACGTTACACACTGATGAAAATCACAACGAAAACAGTGAAGACTTCTGCAGTACGATCATGAGAAAAAGCGAAACGACAGAAGAAAATGAAAACAATGCCTACGCCATGGGGTGCGACACATCTAAATCTCAATTTAACATCGTCCTCAAATCTCACGATAGCGAATCAATCTACGAATCTTTTTTCATCTCTTGCTCTTTAGAATTCAGCTACTTGCATCGCTTTTCACCATTTTGCAGGAAATCTTCAAAATCTTCATCAATATTCCATCTATCTAATAAGTGTACGTGCATCTCACAACAGAAAAGCAACTATTTTCCTGCATCTTAGATAGAGTCGCTCCCCTCGGCCTACGCATTCCAAGTTCGTCTCGGCAGACGCGACTGTGTGAGTTACAAACAAAGCAGGCAACATGAAACGGAAGCTGTTGGGCTCACTCACCAACACACTTACATAAGCAAGCAAAGCAGCAACTGCTTCAAAACGAGCACAGATGAGTGTCGTGATTGTCGGGAATGACCAGATCGGTGATGGATCACAACAGAAGACGACATTCATCAGTTGCTCTTTACTTCTTTCGTCAACTTGATGGATGGTCATGGAGGGAGCTTCGACGAGCACATTGATAGAATCCCTTGGGGTGGCATTGCAGATTATGTTGAGTACGAATTACATACCTCTTGTAAAGAAGCTTGTTGTAGTGGCGATAATCATTGCTGGCAAAAAATTTCGCTTGGTAAGGGTACATCGTCGATGAGTGAGAGCACGGAGAGCTCTAGATCGCACTCGTTTCAGGCTGCGGAGAGTAGCGTTAGACCAAGGCGGTTTTCTTGCAGGTAGACACTTCGGTACTGAAGCACAAACACAGTAGCGCAAAAGGCTAAAGGGTGATACGGTCAAAATTTGGTCAAGGGAAAACGCGTGTAAATCGGTGAAATCGTTTATTTAAAAAATCAAATTAAATTTCTTTTTCAAGTTCAATTAGTATAAAATTCAGGAAAAATATTCAGTTAGGCTTCCGCTTTTCCAAATCCGAATTGCCGGGCCTTACGCTTGACCCCTGCCATCAGATTTTGTACAGCCACCTTGTCCACCTTCTTCGCCGCAGAAAGCCAGTTTGCCTTGAACTGCTGCTCGCCCTTAGCAGTTTTTTTGGTCTTCTTTAGGTTCCGCTTGACAATAGCCCAGTATTTCTCAATTGGGCGGAGCTCTGGCGTGTTGGGAGGGTTCTTGTCCTTGGGAACCACCTGCACGTTGTTGGCGGCGTACCACTCCATGGCCTTTTTACCGTAATGGCAAGATGCCAAATCCGGCCAAAACAGTACGGAACAACCGTGTTTCTTCAGGAAAGGCAGCAGACGTTTATTCAAACACTCTTTCACGTAAATTTCTTGGTTGACAGTCCCGGAAGCTATGAAAATGCTGCTTTTCAAGCCACAGGTACAGATGGCTTGCCAAACCAGATATTTCTTTGCGAACTTTGACAGTTTCATGTGCTTGAAAACATCTGCTACCTTTCCCCTTCCTTTTGCCGTATAAAACTCCTGTCCCGGAACCTGCTTGTAGTCGGCTTTGACGTAGGTTTCGTCGTCCATTACCACGCAGTCAAACTTCGTCAGCATCGTCGTGTACAGCCTCCGGGATCGCGCTTTGGCCGTCGTATTTTGTTTATCATCGCGATTTGGAGTCACTACCTTCTTGTAAGTCGATAGTCCGGCTCGTTTTTTGGCTCGATGCACGGTTGTAGACGATACACCCAGCTTATTTGCGGCATCTCGGAGAGAGAGGTTATGGTTTCGCTTGAAACTACCGGCAACTCTCTTTGTCGTCTCAGCGGCTTCCGGTTTTCGATTTCCCCCCGAACCAGACTTCCTGGCTGTCGACAAACGTTCCCCAAACACTTTAATTACATTTGTAACGGTTGATTTGGCAACTTTTAGCGATTTTGCCAACTTTGCGTGCGAGTAGCTCGGATTTTCGCGATGCGCGAGCAAAATTTTGATACGCTGCTCTTCTTGCTTGGACGGCATTTTGACAACTGAAGAGTGAATTCCAAAATCAAAATAGGAGCAACATTCTACACACACACACCTTCAAAATGAGGGGTGTTCAGGTTTTTTAAATGCAAAATTGAAAGAAATACGTCAAGTTGATATTGACCAAATTTTGACCGTATCACCCTTTATTATAGCGAGCGGCTGCTGTATCGATATCGAGGTCATTCAACACGTTCCAGTTGATCCGGGACAAGGAACGCCTCAGCAAACGGAAATCGGTCTTCCGGAAATTGAGCCGAGTGGCACTCATGGTTTCATCAAAACGAATTTGAGATCCGTTCGCGATAGATATATTCAAAGCAGGGTGGAAATTGTCAAGAGGAACGATGACATCAGGCGCTTCAGCGACGACACAGTCCAGAAGTGCACTTTCGCTAACAAAAACCAAGTCAAGAAAACGAGACTGGAAATTGGGAACAAGGTTTATCTGGCTCAGCCCATGAAAAACCGTGCCGTCAACAAGCAAGCGGCTGGCAGGGGTAGTTGAAGATGCAATCGGATCTGGAAACGCATAACCCTGGCCTGAGGGTGACCAGGCTGATTAAAATCACCAAGCAGAAGAAGCACATCCGTTATATCAGCCATGGAATACACAAACCTTTCTTCGGAGGATGTAATCTGTGCTATCAAATTCGCTCGAAGCATTTACCTTTGAGCGGCAGGTGACGCAATTGTACCTGTCTCATAGCGGTCGTACGAGAAAATGGAAGAGTTACCAGTCTTCTTGATATGTTGTCTTTGCTTGCAGATAGAATCAAATGGAACCGACCACAGGTTGAACATGTCGATCCATTCGATACCCAGCACGTTGATGGTGACTTCACATTGGAATTCGCCGATGATAGTAATGATAGTATGCATTGGACGCTTCGATTGATGATGGAGTCAGATTTGGTCGTCCCAATTGTTGCCAGGTAGCTTCGGTTATTGCCGTGATGTCGCTTGCGGAATCCAGGTGAAGAGAAGCAGCGACACCGTTGATGATACAGGTCACGTACTAACGCTTTCTGGTGTTGTTTGCAATGTGATTTACAACGGATTTACTTCGCTTGAGTTCTGGCTCAAGGTTTCTTCTTCTGGAACTGCTTCTTTTCTTGAGATGGACTGGAAAAGTTGCTTGAAGACTTCTTGGCGCAACCACAGTAGCCTTCTTTGCGGCCAATGCGATCACATGATTTGCAGTGGTGATCAGAGAACGGACAATAACGAACGTAGTGCATCTGAGCACACTGCCTGCAAGGAGTTCGCTTCGTTAGGCCGCTGCCATGCTGAGAGCGAAGAGGCGCGCTTAGCGTTTTATACAAAAGAATTCCTATTACATATTGATATTATTCTTTACATTCGATTTCACGCTCTCAGCATGGCACCGGCCTTAGACGTTGTTGATTTCCAGGTTTTTTCTCCGAGACGTTGTGGACCGAATTTTTCGAACACCCGTCAATGCTCGATCATGTTGTCGACTAAAAATTTTACCCACTTTTTCCGCACACGACACCACAGTGAGCTGTAGATGTAGCGTAAACACTGTGATGGATACACAACGCTCTTCAAGAAGCGCGTAATCAATATAACAACTAAACCTCAAACCCTCATCGACACATCATCGCCATACCAACCGTCCGTCGATGCACCTGTTGGATCAATTATGGCGGCAGAGGTCCGTCCCCTCAAAACAACCGAACAAACGAACGCATTCGAAGCCAGCTAATGCACACGCGATCGGTATGCTGAATTGCTGCATGTTGCGGTAATCAATAACACAAACGGTGTCCAATTTGTGGCCAGCTTCCCACTCTTTTATTTTCCTTTCTGCCATTAAAGTGTGCGACCCAACATCAGCTGGGGGGTGATGATTTGATTTGAATTTGATATGGTTCGGTTCGTTATTGGATGATCGTAGATGCACATGATTTGTAATTTGTACGTTCACAGTGAAGCCACATTCCGTGCTGATTTTGCTTGTCTTAATTACTCGGCGTGTTCGGTTGAGTTGGAGTCTAGCGTTACCCTTCCTTGTCCGTATCGTGAACCGGACGCATTGGGGAGTTTTGACCTACGTGGTCGAACATATGTGTATCTTTATATATTGGAGCGAATGATCGAGAGATTGAATCTTGTTGCATCGCTGCATGTTGCGTCGGTTTGTGGTGAGTCAGATTAATGGCATCATTCGTTATAGGTTCTGCTTCATTCATCTGCGCGACCGTCCTCATAGGAGGTGATGACTCTACGACAATTAGTCTGATTCATTTTCCGAGTTGCACTCATAAGACGTCATCTGTATTACACATTGACATAGCCAATAATTAGATCATTACCTAAATAAATGACACATTACAGAAATACAATAATAATAATAAAATCTCTTTTTCTTTCCCCCCACAGGAACCGGCTCTCGAACGGGCAAAATTCTCCAGCGGTTCCCCGAAAAAGACTGGTCCGATACTCCCTTCATCGAAGGCATCGAATGGGTAAGTCCATCGCAAGCATACACCCCTTCCTTCTATTGTCCAATCGTCACACTAAAAACCATAAAATCTTTCTAGTTCTGCCAACCCCAGGGCTGGTCGTTGTCCACCGTCCGCCAGGAGCCACAGTTTTTCGTGTCGGTCCTGACCGACATCGACGCCAACCGGCACTATTGCGCTTGTCTGTGCTTCAACGAGACAATCGCCATCACACCGAGCAAACCCATCGACGAGGAAGAGGAAGATGACAACCTATCACCCAGTAGTCGGGCCCTGTTGGCCGCCTCCAGTGGTCCACCCTCCATAACCCACCACAGTATCATGTACGCCCCGAAATGTTTGGTCATAGTTTCCCGGTTGGACTACATTGAAACGTTTCGGAACTGTCTAGGGACGATCTACACGGTGTACTTGGAGAGCTTAAAGTTCCACCTGCACCATCTGATCGGAAGCATACTGGGATGCATTCAGGTTCCACCTCCGGGTGGACCTCAGGTTCGCTTCTCCATAGGAGCAGGGGACAAACAAGTCCTGCAGCCTCCCATTTCTCCCACCATCCCCGTGACGGGGTCCTGCGTTAGTCTTCTGTTCCACCAGCTGGGCATCAAAAATGTGATGCTTCTGTTCTGCGCCGTCATGACCGAGCACAAAATTCTCTTCCATTCGACGAGCTACTCCCGGTTGACCGACAGTTGTCGAGCGCTGACCGCCCTGATGTATCCATTCCGCTACAGTCATGTGTACATTCCGATCCTGCCAGCATCGCTGGTGGAAGTATTATCCACACCGACGCCCTTCATCATGGGCATCCATAGCTCGATGCAAACGGAAGTGACCGAAGTGCTCGATGTGATCATTGCCGATCTGGACGGCGGATCGATTCACATTCCGCAATCGTTGGTACCGCCACCGGCCGAACTACCGAAGGCGCTGCGAGAGGCGACCGAGAGTGCCCTGCAACAGGTCTTGCACCCGGAGCTGACGCGAGCCGACTTGGCATTCCCGCCGAACAATATCAACAACAATGGGTATAACTTTCGGGAGCAGAAGAGTGACGAAATGCTAGATAAGGAAATTCGGGCCGTGTTCATGAGGTTGTTTGCCCAGCTGTTGCAAGGATACCGATCCTGCTTGACGTTAATCCGGATAAATCCAAAACCGATCATTCAGTTTCATCGGGCGGGCTTCCTGGGGGCGAGAGATTTAGTCGATTGTGATTTCCTGTCACGGGTTTTGGATAGTATGTTCTTTACGGGATTTGTAACGGAGCGAGGGCCACCCTGGAGGCCGTGTGACGCGTGGGACGAACTGTACAGTGCGATGAACGATTTGCTCAAACAAGAACTGCAAGATCCGGTCTTGGTGTTGATCCACATCCAGGAACTGGGCAAGCAGTTGTATACCAACGAGAATCCAAGTCCCCAGTCGTACCAGCAAAAGATCCTGAGGCCACCGGAAGGTGCATTTGCCAGAATACATCAACCCCCGATGCCGCTGATCGATTCGCAAGAAGTCCAAAATGTCATCAACGAAGGTTTGGCGGCGAACGACCTGCAGGCAAGACTGCAGACTATTCGACCTCCCCAGAGGATAGTTCCGATGGGACCTTATCTGAAACCGGTTCTCGAACTACGACCAGTGGTGAATAACAGTGCTCGAAAGTTGGAAGTGTTGAAGAACTGCATCAGTTGCATCTTCGATAACAAGATCACCGAGGCGAGGAAAAGTTTTCCGGCTGTTCTTCGGATATTGAAACAACGGGACGCCCGGTTAACGCTTTGCAGGGAGTTGGCAAAGATCGCTCACGGAAACAAACAGCTAGATCATCAACAGTTCGACCTGGTAGTGAAACTGATGAACCGAGCCTTGCAGGACGACTCTTCCAAGGACGAATACGGAGTTGCGGCTGCATTACTTCCGCTTTCGACAACGTTCTGTCGGAAACTTTGTACCGGAGTGATACAGTTTGCCTACACCTGCATTCAGGATCATCCGGTGTGGAAGAACCAGCAGTTCTGGGAAGATGCCTTCTACCATGACGTGCAGAACTTCATTAAAGAGCTATACCTCCCGCGTCAAAATTCGGAAAAGTCGTACAGTAGCTGGGCGACGGACACTAACGGACTGGTCCATTCGACATCCCGCGACAAACTGGACCGATCGACGCTGCTTTCACGAGCACAGGAACCTTCTGCGCTGGAGATCGCAGCCGATCAAATGCGAATCTGGCCCACCGTAGATCCAGACAAGCAGCAGGAGCTGATCAGTTCCGAAGAGAAGACCCTCTACAGTCAAGCAATCCATTATGCTAACCGGATGGTGTTCCTGCTGATACCACAGGACGTGAATCAAGGTGGTCGTGTTCAGAAATTGGACTCGCATACCGACGACTGCGCCAGTGTGTCGAACAGTGTGATAGAATCGCATAGTCACAGCGATCATAGCGACGAAGGCTTCGAAGATAACGATCCTAGCGAGGTGGGCTCGCAAGTGGCTAAGATGGTCTGCAAGTTCATCGATCGAGTCTGCAACGAAGGTAATGTGACCCCCGAGCATCTGCGGAATCTTCACCAAATGGTTCCCGGCGTGATACAAATGCACATTGAAACACTGGAATCCGTTAACCGGGAAGCTAAGCGGATACCTCCGATCCAGAAACCCAAACTGCAGTTCCCCAACTTCCTGCAAGGTGAAGAGCTCGTCGGTGATCCGATGCGAGTGTACCTGCTCGCTGATGGCCGCGAAGAGAAAGAAGTGGGAACGTCGAATCTCCTCCCGGCGGAGGGTGCTCTCTATCTTACCAACTACCGTATCGTGTTCAAGGGATGCCCGTGCGATCCGTACTGCTGCGAGCAGAGTGTAGTACGGGCGTTCCCAATTTCCTCGCTTACCAAAGAAAAGCGACTCACGGTGATCTATCTGCAGCACTTGGAGCAGGTCCTGCAGGAAGGTATGCAACTGCGGTCCTGTACCTTCCAGCTAATCAAAGTGGCATTCGATGAGGAAGTGATTGCCGATGCGATCGAGACCTTCCGGAAGACGATACACCGAGTGCGGCATCCGGAGGACGAGTTTGGACATTTCGCGTTTGCCACGACCCACGGAATCGCGAATCCTACCCCACTGCACAAAGTCAAGGAGAAGAACGCTACGTTGAAGGACTTTGCGAAGAAGACGCTGCTGAGGACTGCGAAAAAAGCTGGCTTCAAACAGAAAGGTGTGACCAAGCGGAAATACATCCTACCGGGAGCGGACTTTGAGGAATCCTACGGAAACAGTGCAATGGGGATCAACGAGAATCCAGAAGACGAAGACGGATCGGATGACGGAGCAGATACCATGCCACGGGTAACGGCGAAGGACGTGGAAAGACTGAAGGAACGAAGCTATGTCAAAGATTTTCTTCGGGTGGGATTGGGTGACGTGCAGGCGGGCTACCGAATAAGTTCGATAAACTGTAACTACAGCTTGTGTCGGACGTATCCGGCAATACTGGTTTGTCCGAAGGATTTTTCCGACGATAGCTTGAGGAACCTGTCCCGCTGTTACAAACACCATAGGATACCGGTCGCAACGTGGAGACACAAAAATGGAGCTACCCTGCTAAGAGGCTCAGTGCCCCTTGCCAAAGGTGTCATGGGAATGCTCAAAGGACATCCCGGATCTTCGAATACCTCGGCAGATTCCGCAAGCTTTCAGGAACAAGACCGTTACTTCGTTTGTGTCATCAAAACTACTCCTCACACTCGTCCGATACGGCATACGGGTAACTTCTCTGACTCTAACCTCTCCCTAGACTCGCTAGCCCTAGCAGCCAACGGTCTGATGACTCGGACGGATAACTCAACCCTAACCCCGGACATCAGCCGTAGGAACAACGCCGGCCTGTACTCAATCAACAACTCATCCTTCTCCAGCTTTGGAGCACTTCGGTCCAACCCTAAGCAGAACAAATGGGGTTCCCTGAAACCCGGTGGCCATACAAGCGCCGCCACCTTGCGGGACTACAACAACTGGGATCAACCCCAGCAATACACCATCCAACGCGTGCCATTATACTTCCTCGGTGAGAAATCTCAATCCAAATCAGCCAAGCTGTCGGAAATGTACGCCGAGTTCATCCCCGTGGACTATACCGACGTACGACACTCGCGAACCGCTTTCAAAAAACTAATGCGAGCCTGTCTTCCTTCCTGCGTAAACACCGAACCCGACCAAACCTTCTCCAAGCTGGTAGAGCAGTCCGATTGGCTGCAACAGATCCGAGGGCTTCTGCAGCTCTCCGGTGCCGTCGTTGATCTCATGGATCTACAGGAATCCAGCGTAACCCTTGCCTTGGAGGACGGTTGGGATGTAACCGCCCAGATTTCATCACTTGCTCAACTATGTCTCGATCCCTACTACCGAACCATCGATGGTTTCCGAGTTCTAATCGAGAAGGAATGGCTAGCCTTTGGTCATCGATTCGGTCACCGCAGTAATCTCAAACCAAACAGCAGTTCCGGTTCACCGTTTGCTCCGACCTTCCTACAGTTCCTAGACGCCGTTCATCAGATCCAGTCTCAGTTTCCCCTCGCATTCGAGTTCAACGAATTCTACCTGCGCTTCCTAGCGTATCACCACGTGAGTTGCCGTTTCCGTACGTTCCTTTTCGATTGTGAACTGGAACGGGTAGACTACGGCATAACTGCCATTGATGACAAGCGTGGATCACTCAACTCGCACCACAAGCATGTCGTGGAGACCCTGACCGTATCCGACGACGATAACATCTACCCTGGTGGCCTTGGCGTCGGTGGAGGTGGCCGCGGAAACCACGCTTCCAACACCCAAAAATTCGGACCCTCGCTCTTCGATTACATCGAACGGCAGCACGCTAAGAATCCGAGCTTCTACAACTTTATGTACACTCCGGACCCGGAACGGCAAGTCCTTCGACCGCAAAGTTCCATCTCAGTTCTGGAGGTATGGTCGTATTACCTGGACGAGGAACTAGCCCAAGGACCACCGTACGATCCGGAACTGCTGAATAACGACAACCTGGACGATGACTGTGATTACGTCAGTACGGGAAGTCTGGCCAACAAGCATCCTCGGCGTAAGGTGGTCTCAGTGGGGTACGACAGCCTGAACAAGTACGATGCAGATGCGTTCTCGAGGTTGCTGGAAGAGCTGAAGAACGCCGAAGCCGAGCGGGGATTGTTGCCGCAGAAGTGGCGCCAGGTTTGGGACAAACTTGAACTGCCACATTCGGACTCGCTGACCCGGCACGCGTCGTTTAGCAGTGCCCTGGTGAGATCGCACGGTCGACTGCTGCACAAGAGGTACAGTTGAGGGTGGGGGGTTCATGGTTTGAAGTTACTTAAATTTGTGTTCCGTTCGCTAGATCTACACTGGAGATCATCATGCGCGGTCGTCAGGTCGGGTACTATCAGGAGAACTTCCTGCATCCTCATCGCTTCGAGAAGCATGCCTACTCGGCTCCGATCAACTGTAACCACTGTGGAAATGTCCTGTGGGGACCACTGCTGAACGGATTGAGGTATTTCATATGGTCGCTCGTGAAGAGGTTGGTAAATCTAAAAACGTTATTCGTGACCCTTTCAGATGCGTGGACTGCGGCAACACCTACCACGAAAAGTGTGCGGAATCGGTGCCGAAGAACTGCACCAAGTACAAGGCCGTCGAGGGAACGCAGCCGACGTTGGCGCGCAACCAAGGGGACAATAATAGCGTTTCTTCCAGCGTGAATACGACCAACACGACGAGCCAGCATTACTACGAGCAGTACAGCAGCAATGTAGCGGACGATAGGACGCATGAAGGGTGAGTTGGATTGGAATTATGGTTTGTAATTTTGGGAAACTTTACGTCCTCCGATCGTAGGTATCTGTACAAACGTGGTGCAATATTGAAAAATTGGAAGCAGAGGTGGTTCGTGTTGGATTCGCACAAGCATCAACTGAGGTACTACGATGCGATGGAGGACTGCAACTGCAAGGGTTATATCGGTATGTATGGGGGCGTAATGGGTGCTGGCTCTACACCGTTTGGTACAATGGTCACTTGGCATAAATGCAAAGATAAGAAAAAAGAACAGCTCATACTCAAAGGATTAATACTCTCAAATATGGTCTATCCTAGTTCCTACATGTATGTTCTAGCATCTTCGCATTCATACATTTCAATGTATTACATTTTGGGCAAGATGAGCACTCCTGTGGGGGAAGACGTGCACCCATAGTAAAATTTCTTCTTATATTATCTATATCCATTTGTGCATATTCCAATTAGTTTCGATTTCGTTTGATTTAAATGTAGAAAATTCAACCCTATTTATCGGTATAAGGACTGTGCGATTATCCACATGTATGCCAAATGGCCATTATGCCAAATGGGGTAGAGTCTATTTTGCTCACATTTGCGTCTTTGTAGAACTGGCCGAAGTGCAATCGGTTGCACAAGCACCGCCACAGGCAGTGCCATCGAAGAAGATTGACGAAAAGGCGTTCTTTGATGTAAGTACTGTGATGTAACTTGTAGCAACAACGGTAAACTATATCCTATATTTCCGTTCTTTGCCTTCACCAGCTGAAAACGAGCCGACGAACGTACAACTTCTATGCCTCGGACGCAACCAGCGCTCAGGAGTGGATCGAAAAGATTCAGGCCTGTCTGCAGTAAAGGTCGCAAATGGCCAACATGTAAGGACGGTATTCACCCATCGTTGTCAATAATCATCATCGTCTCGATCATAGGAAAAAAAAACAATACAGAGATAGTAAGTTATAGCAAATCACAACCAATCAGTAAACTGAAGAATTTCCCAACGGATTTCGATTGATGGAAAGAATAATAAGAAACCATACTCACTAAATTAGAATATGTAAGTGAATGCATCAAACGGAAGGTTAGGAAAACGAAATAATTTCATACAATGGTAAATGGAGATGACAATTTCATATCAGCATGATACACTAGTAATTGTTCGGATCGGGCTCGAAAAAAAGGCGAGAAGTTTTATTTGTTTTAACTACCTAAATAATCAATTCGGAGAAAGTGAATACACACAATCAGATAATCGAATGGGTTAATAGTGTTAATGCGGAATGAGTAACATACGAACAACAAGAAAGGAAATATTTATATGTGCATATGTGTGTGTGTGTTTGTGTGCCACTTGTTACGCAGTTGATCTTATTAGGATAGTATTTTGTTTTGTTTTAGGGCAACCGATGGTTAAGCTTTTGTTTAAGGGATGAACGGCGATGTACAGATATAGCTCAAGGCGAGAGACGTTGTGTGCGGGATCCAACGAAAGGAACGCGCGGGATGATATATACCAAAAGATTTTGCTTTACTTTCGAATTTCAATTTGTTTTCTTCAGTTTTGATGCATTTATTTTGTTTCTTTCGTTCAGACTTAGAGAAAAGGCATTCTTTTAAAAAGAACTTGTCGCTTTATATGTTATACAGCGTTATTTTTCAACCCTTTTCTAGCTTATTTTTTCTATGTATTATAAATGTGTAAAAATGTTTATTCTACTCTAATTTTTCTCTTCTTTATAAGTGTTGAAATGCATTTATTGTTAGATTTTGAAAAGAAAAAAAAACTATAGGTGTTAAGAGAAAGAGCTCAAATATTATGTATTAGCCAAACGAGAAGTAGGGACACTGCTCTCCAGAGAGACGCTCGAATTTTTCCAAAAGAACGCGATCTTAGCTGCAACCGAGTTTGATTTCCTTCGCTTTTAGCTTCCAACAACCAACAAACACCTGTCATGTGATATTCTACTTTATACACAATATACTCTACTCTCTTTTGCGAGGACCAAACTCGAAATAACCGGACAGTATATGAGTACGAAACGCAAAATTCCTTATTGTTTGTTTTTGCTGTTCTTACCGATAGGAGAGAAAAAATCCGATCTCAAACGCATACATTTAACATCGTAGCTCACTTGTTTAGAGCAATTTCAGTTCGTAGTCCTATGTCTTTTAGAGCAGATGTATTTACCAGTCAAACGTTCCAGTGATGAACCAGAAGAGGAACCATTCCCGATCCCAGAGCCTATTTAACGCAGTCGGGTAGCACTTTTGCACCATCAGGTACGTACCTACTCCCAGTTATTCCGCATCCAGTCTTCCGGTTTTGATTTTCTACACTGTCTACAATAAATTGTTCTGTAAGGTAAACAATAGTTGATTTCATTTTTAACAGTTCAAATGGAAGATTATCGCTGCAGATTTGTCATGCTTGAAAATGAACTTACAAGGTTTGTTTACGAAATGGAGTTGAGACCTTTTCAAACTAAATTTAGAACACAGTTGCAAAGGGCACGGTCAGGATCTGTTCCAAAAATTAGATCAAACCAGATCCAATTGGGACCACTGCTAAAGATGCCCTAAGAGATAGACACAAATTTCTAGATAGCGCTGGAAGTAGGGCGTAACAGCCTTTGCAAACAATGACTTCTCTCGTTATTTTTTAGGAATTCAAGGCAGACAAACATATCCATTGTAGAGTGGAAGTCTAACCTTACTCGCTGGTTATGTCGATTTGCCGGGGACAGCCATGGCTTCGAGAAATCATCGAGAGAAGTAATTGTTTACAAAAGTTGTTACGCCCTAATTCCAGCTCTACACGGTAAAAAAAACATCATGTTCATGTAAAGTGATTTGCTGTTGAATTTGCACTAATTGTCATCTTCGCGAGTTTGGCATGCGCGTTTTTAACATTTGCTTCCAAAAGCAAAACTAATCAAATTCAATTGATGGAAACAGTGGTGCCAATTCAAAAGATAATCATTTTGATTTAAAGGTGTTATACAGTACATATTTTCCAACGACAAATCACTTTGTTTCACAACGTAAATCACTTGAAAATCAATAATAAATCACTTCGATTCGTAGTGCCGCATGACAGACTGAGTCAAGTGCAAGAGCATTTGGATTAAATGTGACAATTTTTTACCGTGTATCTAGATTATATCTATCTCTTAGGGCATCTTTAGCGGTGGTCCCAATTGGACCTGATTTGATCTAATTTTTTTGGAACAGATCCTGACCGTGCGTTAATAGTGTTTCTTAGAGAGGGTCTAGTATAAGAGAGAAGCGGACTGGCTGGTTTTGAGCCAAACGAACTGTCAAAGCCAGAGCCAATCGAGCAACGCCTATCTTGATTGCATTGCTAGCAAGGTTGCAAAGACTCATTTCAGCTAAAATAATGTTTTTCGGAATAATAAAACCAAAAGATGGTATGATGGCATGTTTTACTTGTAACTTACAAGAAGAGGTTACAAAGTATGCGTTGGAAACATAAAACCTGTAAATTTTGCTTTCTATGAGTCACAATCAGCGATTTGCTGATCGCTGAGTGAGTGAGTGAGTGAGTGAGTGAGTTTGTGAAAAATCGCTGATTGTGACTCTGATGAAGTGAAATAAACAGGTTTGATATGTCAAACACATTCTTTGCAACCTCTTCTTGTATCCTACCAATTCAAAATTTGATCATGGCATCTAATTATTTCATAATTTAGAAAAACATTGTTTTAGCTGAAATGAGTCTTTGCAACCTTGATTGCTAGTGTTGTTAGAAATCACCTAGGGATAGGTTGCCAAGGCAGTTTGTTTTGAATCCGCTCCTCTCTTATACTAGACCCTCTCTAGTGTTTCTTAAACAAAGTAACTTGAAATTAATTGATTGATTTCCTTTATGTAGAAGATTTTCAGCCGCAGGCTGTTGCATCTCCGGGAGCCCCAGAAAGGGGCTGCCCAAGTTACATAGTTGAGAATGTGGAGAACCCAGAAGGGGTCGTTGTCGAAGGCAGTCAGGTAATCGTCATGTGATATCCAGGTTTATATCAGTGGTGTCCACCCAACAAACATTGAATGTTGAATAAGAGCTTATTCAGACAAAAATAAGCTGTTACAGCTAAAAATGGCTTATTCAAATTGTATGTTGGGCAACGAGGAATGATTATATTTTATAGAACAGTCCAGCATCTTTTAGGAAAACTATTAGGGCTGCTTCCGTATAGAACCCGGATGTTATGGAAGCAGGGACAGTTAACAATCAGGTGTTCGACTGTCATAATCGTGTTGCAGTAGTCACGAATCTTCCGAAAAGAGGTAGCTCTACCCGTGTTGTGGGTCATTCGGTTGTGTCCGGATCGAAACCGGGGTAGGACCTGTTGTTCCCATCGGCTCATAGTGTCGACCGCCCTGCCTTGAAACCATGCTGGTCTTCGCTCAAGTGCTGCTTGAAGTGAGAGACTAATGGTTCCATAACGACCAACTCGAACAGTTTAGATATGGCACACAACGATGTGATGCCGCGATAGTTGTCGATGTTTCTTTTGCATCCCTTCTTATGCACTGGAAACAACTCAGCTGATTTCCAGCAGGAAGGAAACACCCCACTGGAGAGGGACATTACGAACAGAAGGCAGAGAGCAGCCACCAGGCTATCGATGTGTTGCTTGAGAAAGACGAAAGGAACTCCGTCAGGTCCAGGCTTAAATGAAGACTTCAGTTGAAGGCAGAAGTCTTGCGACGATTCGGATTGTCTGGTTATACGTTGGGGCTAGTCGCGTGGTTAGAAAGTCGTTGGAAAGGCAGAACAGTTCGATCCCGTAGAATAATCTACTGTTTACGGTGGCTTTGGCCACTTTTAGTAGGATCTCTCTGTTACTGCTCCGGTGTCGTTTGGAAAGTGTCCAGAGAAGGTTTAGCCGCGTGCGGCAGTTGGTTTTGGTGTAATTGAAATGTGTGTCAAATCTCAGCTCCCGGTCCAAGCGCACACCAAGAACCTGGATGGTCTTCTTGTTGGGTATCGGAATGTTGTTCGCAAAGATGGCGAGCGATGACGGGAGTGACATAGGTGAGAAACCACGCTCTTTTCTGGGGATAATTGGGTTGTTTAGCTTCGAAAAATATACCGATTTTTATACATCAGGCATAACATTTGATAACGGCACAAAAGCATCATCTGATAGAGCTTCGTTTTATGAGCACAACGATATTTGTATCGATCCCGTAGACATTCATCCTCGCATTCATCTCGATTTTTAAATCAAGATTTAAATTTTTGATCATTGAGTCTAAATCGATTCGTTGACAGCTCGCTCCCATAAAAAGTCCCACCAAGGGGCGCTAAGATGTTGATTTTTGCTAATAATCATACTTATTTAAAATAGTTCCAGTGTACCAAAATTGGTGAAATTTTGGATTTCGGATCGATTTTTAATGCAGATACCGAATATGTATTTACGTCAACACTCCTAAATAACCCAATTCGAAGTCGGTCCTGGAGGCCCATCTTGTGGTGGCTGATACAGCAGCGTGTAATTTTCTTCGCAAAGCCTTGAGGGGTGCGTCCGATTGCCAGGAGGACGATGTCGTCTACATATACAAATATATATATTCCTTTTTGGAGGGTCTGAAAGACTCCATTCATGGTGACCGCTATGACGGATCCCTGTGGGACTCCAGTTTTTTCCGCCCGGGTTGAGAAGCGGTGGTTCCCAATCATCACCTGAAAGGTTCTGCCGCAAAGGAATTTTTTTTACAATGTGTAGAATGTGGCCACCAAGACCCCAGTCAGCCAACTGGTCAACCGTTGCCGGGTTTGAACGTATGCTGTCGGTGATCGAGATGGTCGTTGATCTCGAGGAAGCGAATTAGACGGCGATTGACTACTTGAAATTGACTCAACTACAGCGCCGTAACGTGGGTAGATCACATTTTCGTGGTATGTAAGATCTAGTCCTGCCTACTTCAAACTAGGGGAACATGATTATTTAGTAATCAAAGGAACACATCTTAGTCCTTGTTACTTTTTATGGCTTGTTAATAGTTAACCTCGAGGTTGCCTGGACTGAGGATGATATTTAATTAAGGAAAGTTAGCCTTCTTCTATGTGATTCCCAATCTTCTATTCGTTGTTCCCTAGTTTGAAGTGGTTAAGACTACGGTCCTGATGCATGGTCATTATCGGTGTCATTGCTTAATTTTGTTGCTAAGGAATCCAATTTTGAATGACAAAGGGGGCGCCTTTTGGAGGGTGCTCTCACTCTTTGAAGGGTATACATGTGGTCGTCAAGTAAGCAACTGTTCGTGTTTAAAAAGAGAAGCAAAAAATTACTAATAGCGAATTCGTTTATTATCGGGGTTAACACCAGTTCCAACACAGTGCGAAACCGAACTTTTTGTCAGTGTGAACCTCAACCTGAGCTAGGTTTTAAAAACAAACGAGCAAACTGACGTTTATCAGAAAACAAGCAGACCCTATCTTGATACCGGATCCAGGTTGGAACTGAATAATAAACGAATTTGCTATAAGAAATCGATGGAACCTTCGCCAGTGCGCAAAACAGTTAGGTTCATTGAGTCATTTTGATATTAATATGAACTGCCATCTGCCTCGAGAGAGTCTGAATGATTGAGAGGTAAACGAGTCACTGACAGCCGAGCACTCAGTCAGTAGTGACCGAAGGCAAGCGGTGTGCGTCGCCTGCTCGTGAGTGACTGAATGTTTTTGTTGGTTCTTTCATTGCCTCGTCCTTTACCGTTTGGCACAAACGGTCTGCACAGAGCAATGGATTGAATAGTGCAGTGCTTTCACACTCAGCCTAGATAGTTGCCAGTTTTCCAGATTTTCAGTCATCTAGCCAGATACACTGACAGATCACGTATATTTCCAGATTTTTTAAATATGTTCCAGATTTTGACAGATTTTTTCAAACATTTTGCTTTAAAAATATCACTGTAATTGATTTACAATCTAATCAAAAAATAAAAAGCCAAACTTGCTACTTTAATTATTAAAGTCCATCAACGGTGGACATTATTAGAATTTTAAGGTAATTCTGGAAACAGTGCACAGTGAAGTGCAAGGTGCATTCCTTGTGAAATCAAACGAGAACTTCAAGCTAATTCTGAGTAGAGTTCCATTCATCTTTGAGGGCTTCGTGGTCGTGTGACTTCACCCGTCGTTCAGGCGTATTGTGAGTGCCACAAAGTGAGGGTTCGATTTCCGCTCCAGCCGGTACAAATTTTGACAACCTGAAAATTTCCTTACTGGTCTACTGGTAAGTTCCAGTTTGAGGGAATTGTGGAATTGAAGAGTGATTTATAAGAGATTCCACGAGGTAATGTTTGGTTATTATCAAGATTATTTTAGAGGAATATAGAAAAAAAAGTATGATTGAATTCTAGGATGATTCAAATGGAACTAAAAAAACGGCGAACATATCCTGTGAAGAGTTCCAAGTAAATTCAGACTAACAAAAAATTCATGATCTGGGACAGGAAAAATATAAATTCCGGAATTCAAAATCATTTCGAGATCCTGAGATTTCAAAAACGAAACTATAAGACATTCATTTTAGTAATATAATAAAATTATTCTTTGGCATAAAATTATTCGTAATGGTCATGCGAATAGTGGAGTTACCCGTAGTTTAGGTAAACTGTGTGTGAGTACCACGATGTTAGACTTTGATTCCCACTTCAGCCAGGTAGATTCTACTTCAAAATAAAATGGCCTACTGGTCTACTGGGTGTTGTGTGTAGTATGATGTTAAGAATTAAATTTTAAATCTGATAAACCTCAGGGTAATATTAGAGTTATTTAGAACTAATAAGATCGTTAAGATATATTCTGGTACTGCATCAAATAGTAAGGACTAAATCGACTTTTAGTTAAACAAAATTTATCCCATCAAAGTTGCTTGATTCTTTGCTTCTCATTCTTTTAAAAAGATTACAGTTTAAGTAGCAACTCTAAACATATTTTTTGCAGTATTTTGCCCACATTTAACTCAATTTTTGAAATTCAACAAGTTATTTGCTTTATATAATTTATTTACACATGTAATTCATAACCATTGTAGTACTTCAAATAAATTCCAAATGATCATATTGACCGATTTTTACGGGAGATTGGCACATCACTTTGATTTCAATAGCATTATATTAAAAACTGGATTTTTTAAGCATACCAGATTTTTCCAGATTTTATATTTTAACTGGTCCAGATTTTTCTGAAAATGACCTGGCAACGCTGGCTCTGAGTCCTTCGCTACCATGTCTGGGATTGAACCTACTACATACATATTACTACAAACCACTAGGACCGTTACGAAAACCTTTATCGAGTGTAGTTTCGTAGATCAAATTCAACGATAACGACTATTGTCGCAATATTATTTCGAAAACATGCAAATGGAATTGCCTCCTCAGATTCGATCAGGCTCGATCACGATTCCACATTAATATTCACAAAAATCAGAAGAAAAATAACGGCAAAATAACTTACAAATATGACGTCCACAAGTTCTTTTTGTGTGTGTAATAAACTAGTTTATTAGGTTTATTAACAAAAAGCCTTCACCAATATTCGACTGGCTATTAGTTCCTGCGCGCCCTTGCAAGCGTGACAAATCTGCTCGGGTAATTCCTTCCTATTGTATATAATCTTCCAATTAGCAACTGTTTAGCATCCTAGATTACTATCACTCCAGCTTAAACGATCATATCATTTTAATTGTGACATTATACTGAAATTCGGTCAGATCTTTCCGTATGCAAATTGTTTCTAGGAAATAACCTGTGGCTATACTAAATTGGTGTTAATGTACACAAACACAAATAGAAGAGAAATAATAAAAAAAAATTAAACGCAACTATACATTTTAGGCAAAATATAAATTGAAATAATGTGAAAATCGATATTATCAGTGGATATTGGGTCCCAGCATCCTGTACAAATTTTAAATAAAATGAAAAACAACCTAGTTTCTAGTAGGGTATTTAACGATAAACGAATGATGGAGGGAAGCAATGTGAATAAATAAAGTATCAATGTCTATAATAGTAGGTAATCAAAAGCTACTAAGAAAAACTATTATTACAATTTGCAAATATATAAAAGTGAAGTAAGAGAAGCCAGAATCAGTTAATTCCGAACAAATCCTTATACTGTGTGTGGGTGTTCCAGAAGTCTTGTAAAGAAATGCTAAATTTAATTTATTGACATGAATATAAGGAGATCACCTTTGGTCCTTTGAAACAATTTTCAAAACTTCTGGAAGATTTTGTAGATTCAGAAAAATAGGGGAACGGAACGTATTATTAGCATATGCTCCTCTATTGGACCTAACGCTAAAACTCAGGATTGAAGCAACATGTCACTAATTTTCATTTACTAATGATATCATACAGTTCATATACTCCATTCCAGCAGAAAAATCAGGCCAAAGTAGGTTTAAAATTTAGTTTTAGCGTTAGGCCCAAAATAGGACCATAGGCTGAGAATAGGATCACTAACCCTACGTCAAATTTCCTAGAGAAGATGTCGGAGGACTAGGGCTGTTAATCGTTAACTACCTCAATGGAAGTTTGCATTGAAGACGTTAATGGACGTTCACGTCATTAACAATCAAGCTAACGAAACGATTGACGGAATTCTTTTTGAATACAATTAGAGCAATCGTACCAGTCGTTGCCATTTGCGGCACTATTTTACTTACGCACAGCGTTTCCATTTTGGCTTAATCAATCCTCTCCACACCGGTCGTTGCTATCAGAGTCATAATTTAAGTTACCGTTTTCTACACCGGTAACACAAACTTTTGGCGTTTATTCAAAATAGCAACCGTCTGATGCGTTGCTACTGGGTTGCTAAATTTATGAACTCACTACTTCCCAAGGTGCGATTGCTATTTCCCCAACCTACAAGTAGCGTTATGGTAGAGGTTGGTAAATGTGCCTTACTTACTCATTGGTACGGTTGCTCTTAGTTGTAACGACTTCGCATGCCCACATCATCTTTATTTGATCGAGGTAGGCCATGCATTGCAACTGACGTATTATGTTTTTGCTACTGCTTTATTTTTCGCGAATTTTACTGAATGTTTAGTGAAAATTCCTTGGAAAATTCTGTAAGAAATATGTAAAATGTAAACTGGTGGATTTTTGACTAACGATTTTTTTCAATAATTTTGCGCATGGTTATAAATGTGTGCGGATGTTAAAACAAATAGAAACGACGAAAGGGTTTTTAGATTGCAGCGAGTGGACAAACCGGTGCTATTTTGGAGGTGGAATTTGGTGAGATCAACCGATCAACCTGATTATAAATCAGTTATTAATGCCTATTTCCAAATACTACTAAGGCTGTGAACCATTTGCCGAGTTAAATTTAACTCGTAGTTAAAAGTGACATTTCGAAAGTTATTTCTTATGTTCGAAATCCCCGAGTTCGAGAAATCCCCGTGCTGTCGATCGACCGGTTTTCGAGCCACGGTCGTCAAAATTTAACTTCTTGTCTGTCAGAAATAACCACGCTCGGATAGCAGGGTTAATCGATAACTTTCCATCTGTCAAATTTTAACCAAAAGTTAAAATAATCCACCAAATGGTTCAGAGCCTAAATAAAGAGCCTAAATTTATAAAGAGGCGACATGTCAAAATTGGAACAATCGATTATCTGTTAAAGTCATAGGAAAAGTCATTCCAATCGAGCAGAAGACCTGTCAAATGGATAAGATGTCGTCTCTTTATAAATTCAGGCTCTTTACTACTAAATACACGCCGGAAGTGTGTTTACCATTATGATAACGGTAGTGTTTACATGCGGGGCTTATAGTATGTGAAAGTGACCTTGGAAGTGACAGTCATTCTGAAATGGGTCGCTGGATCTGCAGTAGAGCTATCAACTTCTAATGCCCGAACTAAAGCTACTTCCAATTGTCATTTCAAAGATTATTGCTAGTAGATTTCTTCCATAATACCACTGACGATCTCCAGTCTATCTAAAATTCAGTGCCAACATTTCAAAGGGGCGTAATTGCATTTGTAAACAATGGTTTTAGTCGTCGATTTCTCGCGAATGAAAGCTCACTCATAAAAATGAATGACACCAGCAGGTAGAGAAATGTTTCCTGTACCAGCTAGTATTGGTAATTTGGAAGGGTGGGCTTTTATTTGCGAGAAATCGACGGCTAAAGCCATTGTTTACATAAGCAATTACGCCCCTTTGAAATGTTGGCACTGAATTGTTTGCTGCAGAGATTTTATTTTTAGATCTTCACGGCTTCTGGATTTTGATATAAGTACCCCTGAAAGCACGAAGTAGAACGATTCCGCCAATTACTCCTTAAGCTTTTATTATTTATCAAAAGTAACGATATTTTGTTTAAGGCTTTCTACTCACAAACAAAAGATCCCAACAACAACCGCCATCATTTATCTATTCATCCCTTTATTATTCTAATGCCATTGCACTGGTCAGCTTCACCAAGTGCTCCTGGTCCTTACGCTGGACGTCTTCCAAAAATGTCTGCACCCGTTCGTCCCGCTTGGCAGTGGTATCGCTGTCAGCTGATGCCTTCGCCTCCGTCAGAAGCACATCCTTAATTGCACTCGTTTGCCAGTGGCACCTTTGGTAGTAGAACACCGCCCCGAACAGATGCCAAATGTTGAACTCTGGCCACAGAGTTTCCGTAAAGTAGATAACGGTCGAGCTCGATTGCCACAGCAAGAAGTCGCTCAGTCTAACCTCGCCGGATGTCCGTACCAGCAGATCCGGGTCGGAGCAGTGCTTCGTATACATGCATTTAGTCAGGACTTCCTCGTCGATGTCGTCCTCTTGTAGCTGCCCGTCCCGTACTCCTTCCGCAACGGTTCGAATGGAATGTGTGATTTCGTCTCGAGAGGTGTAGGAAAATGCGACATTCAAACATGCTTCCGTGTTGTTTTGCGTTAATAACACGGCTTCGGCCATAACTTTCTGAATGTCGACCGGTAGAAGACTCATGTTTCCAATGATTCTTATGCATATTCCTCGTTCGTGCAGTTTGTCTCTTTCTTCCAGCAACTTCTTGAATTTATCTCTCGCTAAATTCATCAGCGTGTCCACCTCTTCCTTGGTTCGTTTGAAATTCTCTATACTGAAAGCATAGACCGTTACTTCCCGAATCCCAATATCCTGACACCATTGCAACGTCTCGGACAGTTTATCGAACCCCTTGGAATGTCCCTCGGCCTTGGCAATGTTTTCTTTCCGAGCGAATCGACGATTTCCATCCATAATGAATGCAACATGCTGCGGGATCGGACCACCCTTCAGCACTTTGATGATCCAGCGGTGGTACCAGAGCAGATTACTTTCCCGCACCCAGTCCGAAGTGGGTGATACCGCTGACGTCATATTCTAGCATCGATCGATCACTGGTTAGCATTTTAAAACCATAGAATCATTCCACTAAATACTCACCGTTCAATTCTCATCCACTGACCACTATCGATGGAACTAAACTCGGTCCAAACACTGATCCCGGCGGGGTTTAGCCCAAATAAACTGCGAGCTGAGCTGGTTTGTGTCGATTTGGAAGTGCAGTTTTCTGGTATGCATTCACCTCACATGACAGCGATTTGTTTTGAAAAAGTGACCCGAGTAAAAAGTCTGCGGGTGCGTCGGTAAAGTAGGATTTTCATTACGCGATACACGCTATTTGAAACTAACCCCAAATTTGGCTATACACGCTAACTTCAGCTTCCTCACCGGGTGAGTCGATCATACTCACTTTCGTCCGATGTATCGAGTTGTCAAAAAGTGAGTAAACGAGAAATTACGAACTGACTGAAAGCCACTCAGTCAGAAAAATCCTGGACTTGGAAAAAATGCCAGCCATGTCGGAGGAAACTTCCTAGGAAATGTTACTCAAAACCGGCTGAAAATGTCATTTAATGCCTTCAGGTAAGTAGGAATTGGGTTGTTTAGGGGTATTGAGGTAAATACATATTCGTTTTCTGCATTAAAAATGGAACCAAAATCCAAAATTTCATCAATTTTAGTACACTGGACCTATTTTAAATAAGTACGATTACATTAGCAAAAATCACCATCTTAGCGCCCCTTGGTGGGACTTTGTATGGAAGCGAGCTGTCAACGAATAGATTAAGTGTCAACGATCAAACATTTAAATCATGATTTAAAAATCGAGATGAATGTCTACGGGATCGATAAAAATATCGTTGTGCTCAGAAAACGAAGCTCTATCAGATGATGTATAAAAATCGGTATATTTTTCAAAGTTAAACAGCCCAATTGCTTAGGGAAACAGTGTTGAACAATTTTCTGCACCGGTAGAATGAATCCGGAGCAGGCAGTTTTCATTTCCTTCAGTAAAAATCAAAACAAACCCCCGCAACTAAAAATATTGATGAGTCTACCCCTCTAACTTTGGGTAAGCCGCGAGTATTCGGCTCATCTCCCCGCTCAACTCCAACTAGATATAGAAATAAGTGAATCTTGTTAAAAACAACGAACAATGAATTTTCGGCTCCGTAAAGCTAACGTGATTGAGCCTACCAAAAAAACGACCTAGATAAAAACAAAACAATAGAATAATAATAAAATTAATGGTAAATGGCTCAAGTTTGTGCGGGAAGGGGGAGAGGGTACTGTATCTAGTTAGAGTTGTAACTAGGGCGTAGCATCCCTAATAAACAAATACCATAAACGAACGGTAGTTCTAATCGTCAAATTTTTCTACAACACGTCGGTGAGCAAAATAACCATACAAATTTTATTAGGGATGAAAGTTATGAAATGGACCACTCGTCAAGCAGTTTTATGGTTTTAGCGTGACTTTCTACCAGGGATTTTACAAAACTGAACCAACAAATTACTATTTTATAACTTAACACATAACTTTTGGCTACTTTTCTTGTGGTTCTAGAAGAAAAAACCTCAAAATATTGTTTCATTGCTAGTTTACTACCACTCGAACTTTGAAATAAAACATTATTTTGAGATTTTTTCTTCTAAAACCTCGAGAAAAGTAGCCAACATTTGTGCGTTTCATAAAAAAAAATAGAAATTAGTTGGTCCAGTTTTGTGAAATCGCTGGTAGAAAGTCACGCCAAAACTGCTTGGCAAAGTGTTCAATTAACCTCACCTCCTAAATTTATACGTAACAATTTGTAACAAAACTGCAACTCTCCTCCTCCTTGCGTTTTACGTTATGCTGATTTTCATGAATAGTCCATTCTATGTGCGCGAGTAACAAACCAACATTTTTGGCTGGAGCGAAAGTGAGGATAACAAACTTCGCACTTGAAAATGGGATTACACAAGTTTGCATGTTATGAACGTCAGAAAGCTCAATTTCCTATTCATTATCATCATCATCATGCAGTAGTGGACTTGGTGACATCTGTAAATTCATTTTTGCTGCAACCTTTCAATCGGAAATAAAAATGTGATGGATGCATAATGCTTGTGTGTAATCCATTCACTTACCCCTCGACGGAGCGCCAACACAAACAAAAAACCATACTGCTCGACCTAACCAACGCACACAACCGTGGCAACGTGTGTCTGTTCACTATTTCGAGCAGCCAGTTTGAATCCGAAACCTACACAACCGAACATCTCGACGACGGGGTTTTCAAAAGAAAGAAAACCACCAGTCAGAGTAGCAGGTCGATCGTGTGTGCTCCGTGAAAAACGTCGTTTTGTGTGGTGAAAAGTGCAGAAATTGGTTCTAATGTGATCGCAGTCGTCGCGTAAGTGCAGTCGTGAAACGTAAATCGCCGTGGAACATGGATGCCCAAATGGATTACAGTGAAAATCAGTGAAATTTAGAGGTGTCGATACGCCTTACTGACTGCCTAGGGAGCGAAATACACGACGAACAGAACTCACTTCTGGGGAGGAACTCACCCAGCACGTTAGTGTGGGTAAAAAAAATACATTGAAAATAATTGCGTGTGTGTGTGTGTTTGTATGTATTGGTTCGGATCGTGGTGAGAACCGAACACGGCACTCTTGTGCGAGAAGGTCTTCGCTTTTGGATCCGTCAAACGAGTACCAGAAGTTGACTAAAATGGTGGAAGTGTTTTGTGAATAGTGCGAAGAAAAATGATAATTTCTAAAGGATTTCTCTGACAAAATGGATTTAAACTGTGTCAGAATGGAAGATCAAAGTGTCGTGAACAGGAATATTCTGGTTCCAGGTAAGAAAAGACCCAGATGGCAGCCGGAAGACAGTCTGAAAGTATGATGGTTTTATGCTGGAAGGTTCTTGTTCCGATTTCTGTGCTGTACAAAGAAGATTAAATTACTGCTGTTCGGTCGGTGCAGCGCTGCCAGGAAGGATGTCTTAACATTTGTTAAACTAATCGTAGAATTTTTAGTTGTACAGAAACATGCTTAAGCTTAGTTGGCCTGGGATATTCAAAGATAATCCTGGGTAAAGTGTTATGGACCGTGAAATGTAATCCGTCACGAAGAAAATACGGAGTAACTAGTGAACCGGAAATTCTCAGTCACCGGGAAAAATCCGTGTATTTCGATGACAAATCGGGAAAAAAATATATTTTGTCCTGCATTACAAAAAGTCAGCATTTTGGACCTTCAACAAATTCCAAGTCCCTTGGGCTGGACAAGATTTTCAGCGATACAATCATTTTGAAGTACTATTAAGAGTAGGTTAGATATATTTTTTTTCTAGAGATGTTTAAGAGAAAATGTCCTAGTATCATCCAAACCTTTTGTGGGATAGTTTACCCATCCGGAATACAGTTCGTTTATGGTATTTGTTTATTAGGCTTAGGCTGTGAACCATTTGCCGAATTAAATTTAACTCGTGGTTAAAAGTGACATTTCGAAAGTTATTTTCTATGTTCGAAAATCCCCGTGCTGTCGATCGACCGGTTTTCGAGCCACGGTTGTCAAAATTTAACTTCTTGTCTGTCAGAAATAACCATGCTCGGATAGCATGGTTAATCGATAACTTTTCATCTGTCAAATTTTAACCAAAAGTTAAAATAATCCACCAAATGGTTCAGAGCCTTAGTAGTTACTTATTTAACCTAGTTATTTCTTCGGCTCATTCGCATTTGATTGTATGCTTAGTTTAAAAGTATATCGCATAACCGGGAAAATTTGCAAAATTCCTGGGAAATTGCTAATCGGGATTTGATGGTCAGAAAATCACAGATAAAACCAGAAATATTCTTGGGTTATCTTATGTAAAGGATCTCATCGGCCTGAAAAAGTTGTTCTGTTCATAAGATTTATAAACTTATCTGGAAAAGATTGAATATATTTCCAGGATGAACTAGAAGTAATTTTTTTTGAAAATATGCTACAAACATTAATGTTGACAAGAAAACTGATCAGGTGTAATATAACAAACATTGTCCAGGATGCTTTCTTGTACTGACTGCGTTTGTATTCGGTTTGATTAGATTGTATTGTTTCCATTTCAGATAAATTCTGTGACGTTACTGTGCGGAAGCGGTGCGTTTCATATAAAATAGTAATTTGTTGTACCAGTTTTGTGAAATCGCTGGTAGAAAGTCACGCTAAAACTGCTTGACGAAGTGGTCCATTAAGACGACTGCAGAGTTGTCCATTGGTCGTTCGGAGAAATTCGAACAGAAGTTAATGTTTCCTTTGAATGCTTGGAATTCTTCGAATTTCAGTGTTAGGAGTTATTTCATAAAAGTTATTCAACAGATTCCTAGACAAAGCTCTGTAGGCTTCCTCAAGTGACATCCTATGACTATATAGCGAAGTTTCTTCTGGGAAAGTTCGAAGTAAGACTTCAACATCGAGTTGTGCAGAGTTGACTGTATCCTAAGGAAGTTTGTAATGTTCTGAAGACATTCGGAACGAGCGCAGATGAGATTCAAGTGTTGAGAAGTTTAAGGGAAAATGAAAGGAATTGTTTCTCTATTCTTCTAAAATGTGCTTGAAGTTTGCTTAATAACTGGAAACAGTTTTCTTTAGTTTTTTAAACACAGCACTAATAATGAACTTTGTCAAGCAGGATCGCGTAATTTTCTCCCAGCGTTTGAGGAAACTGAATCAACAAATTACTGTTTTGGGAATAGTGCCTTTATATTTGAAATGACGTTCCACATTCATCCAATGATATCCGATCCTTATTCTTATTAATCCATTCATCGATTCGTTATTAATCGAGTAAATTAGACATCACTGGGGCCACATTGCGCATCTCGAAACGAAAAACTTTTTCATACAAGCGTTCGTACAAAAAGTCTTTCGTTTCGAGATTCGCAATGTGAGCCCTGATTTTTGGTGTGATGATAAATAAAAGGGCAAAACGTCAACTCTTTTGAGGGGGCAGCATAACCACAAAAAAACCTTGCATAGGGTAGGGTGGCAAGTGATCCAGGAAAACCGAGAAGTTCTACAAATTTCAGAGAAGTCTTACGAACTTCAGGGAAGTCCTTTAATCTTTGGGGAATAACTACTAATTTTACAGAATTTTCTACAGATTTAATGTAACTTCTACGACATTTAGGCATTGCTTAAAACTTAAGGATAATCCTATGACACTTATGGCTGTTTTTCCGAGCTTCAGAGAAGTCTTCAATATTCTTGGGAAGTCCTCTGAACAAGCTTAAAAAAGTTCCTAGATCTTCCGAGAAGTCGATTGAACTACAGGTAGTCCTACGGAATTCATGGGAGCTCTCCAAACTTCAGGGAATTTTCAAGAAATTAAGGAAAGACCCACAAACTTTTGGAAAACCCTTCGATATTTAAAGCCTTATGCACTTCAGGGAAGCTCTTCTAAATATAGGGTCCTCATATATTCAGTTAAGTCTTTCAAACTTCAGGTCTTCGAGAAAGTTCTTCGAACTTGAAGGAAGTCTTACGAACTTCTGAGAATTTCTGCGAACTTCGTGGTACTTCTACGATATTTAAGACATTCCTATGAATTTAAAAAAAAACTCCGAACTTCATGAAAGTCTTAAGATCTTAAAAAAAAAGTCCTTCGAACTTCGGGGAAGTCCTATGAAATTCAGGCAATAAAAACTTCAATGAACCCTTCAGGAAAGACCTTAACGCTTCAGGGAAGTTCTACGAACTTTAGGGAGTTTCTATGATTTTTTTAATAATGTGAGTTATTAAACCAGCGTTGTTTATGAAATCTTTTAATCATATGATTTTGAAATCGTGTTGTAAGCAAAATTCCGCTAAATAAGATCCTTAATCGTTGACAATTTGCGGAAAATTTAAACAAACTGGAAATCCGTAAAATTGTTAGAAGCAAGGGTTTGTTTAAAGAGTCCTCATTCATATCACACTTCGCGCTAGTCCTGTCATATTTCAGCTTTTCTTCGTCATACACCCCTAAAATCGCTCATTTTACGGGTTATCGCAAATGTTTCAGTGTCAATCGTAATTAATCTGGTAAGCAAAGATGTTTTTGCAAAAACATGAATGAAAACGCTTTGCCTAGTGCTAGTTTTAGCACATAGAACGGAAATAGGCGCCATGATACGACGAAGTAGCGCGGCTCCCTACTAGCTTCTTTACAGCAAACAATCAGATAAAGATTTCACGGGCATTCACAAGAACCTTAATACCTACTTTGGTTTGTGAAATTCCGCATTGCGCAAAGAATGATGGTACAAGGATTCACTTTATTTTTTATTAAAAATTGTTTTTTAAATACATGGGTTTTAAAACCAGGAAATTTTTAAAACCCAGGAATTTCAAAATGGAAATTCACTTGCCATCCTGATAGGCAATTCATTGGATTAAAGGGACCGTGGAAGAGGATTCTAACATAGTCATTGATTTCTTCCATTCCTTATGAAATTTATTACCTGATGAGGAACAGCAGTCCAGATTTCCCAATGTCGTATAAGACCCTTATCAATATCTGCATGGTTTATGAAATAGTGCAACGCAGTCACACAACCAATGTTTAGAGCTTTCACACTTTAAACTACAAAAGCGACAAATTTTGTTTTCATACTGTTCCATCTTAGTATTCTTCTTTGGTTTTAGCGTGACTTTGTTCCAGCGATTTCACAAAACTGGACCATCAAATTACTATTTTATTATGAAACAAACGCACCACTTTTGACACTTTTATCGTGGGTCTAGAAGAACAAATCTCAAAATATTGTTTTATGTTATTTTCAACTGCTCGAATGAAATGGTTAATGATGATTGTTTGTTCACAAAACAATATAATAGATACCTATGTCTAAAATATTCCCATGTTAAAGAAAAAAAAAACGTTTTTATAAGCCATCCTTTCACATAAATTAATCCATATAATATGTATTTGAATGTAATTACTGGCAGCACTGCTCGGCCCGAAGGCTGTTTTTTCGTTCGTGAGTTCCTTTGTTGGTGTGTATGTTGGTACGAGAATACGAGAAAGTCGTTTGCTCATTGGCACTCAGCCATCGTATCGCGATTGCTAATCAGCAGTTGTGTTGTGTTGTTCCATGAATGAGTGTGTGCGCGAGTGCAGAATGCCTAGTTGTTTTCTGTTTGTGGGTTATTTTCTTTGCGGTTGTCCGTCCGTTCTTCCGTGCCGTTCGTCGCGTAGCGATTGACTCAGCACAGTACAGAGGAGCAAACCAACCAGCAACAGCATGAAAAATAACGAGAGTGGTGCAAATGGCTCAAAATCCAATGTTTTCTCCCCGTTCGTTGCAGAACTTTATTTCCTGATTTCCAAGTTTTTGGCCAACGGACCGCTGCAGGAAACTGCCAAGGTGGGTAAAATAAAGTCCTACGGGATATGCCCGACCGTTCGGGACCATCAGCTGACTAACTTTCATTCCGTTTGTTGCAGGTTTTGGCCCAGGAATTGGAGCATTTAAATGTAAGTCCGATGTATACAAACGGCGTTTTTCCGCCGATGTTCGATTCAAAATATTTTGTTTAGGATCACACACGTGCTCACGAACTGTCAAATTCTTCGTAGTAGCGCAAAAGTTACGACGAGACACTCGGACGGACTTTGCTGCAACGAAGAAGCAAAAGAAAGGTATCGAACCGACGTTCATCACCAGAGGAGCAGCACCGTGTGTGACCTTGACCTTGTCCTACTCTAGTAGACTAGACTCTCTGTGCACCAGACGAGCCTCCAAACCGTCTGGGCCTGATTGGAAAGTTCATTGACTTATACTTGGTTTTGTTTTGATCTTGTCTTTCTTCCCGTTCCCGCTTTCCGATATCTAGATCTTACCCCGCCGTTTGGACTGGACCGGCCAGGAGCATCGCCAAACGCTTGACGAGTTGGTAAGTACCTTGCATTTGGGAATCCGTGTCTGATCCAGGATGAGGGCACTGATTCACGACAAGGGACCACTTTCATTTTCTCCCATGCTCGCATACATGCAGAGCAGTAAGCGACACGACGACGACGGCCCCCGCATACTGAACTGCAGCACCGCTTCTGCGTAGCTGAATGATGCCGTGGCGCTTTGTGTTTTGTGAAGGGCGTTCGGGCGGGAATTGATTTCGATTCCGGGGGATTCGGTGGCCGGTTACCGTCCGAAATATGGTCCCCGGAAGTGACCACCGGTGGAATCGGTTACGAGAGAATATCATTTTTAGGATTTCGCTATGTTTAAGGAACAATTTCGAAAATTGTTAAAAGTTTACAATTGGACACTGGACAACCTTCCAATACCGGAAGTAACCCGGAACATCCGGTGAAATGATTTTTGTTGCGTAATTACGTAACATCATTATTTTCATTACATCATATGCCAGACGACGTCGAATAAAGGCATAAAGCAACGCAAAACACCACCAAAGTGACCACCCGTGGCCACAATCCCGAGCGCAACCCAGATTCTCCGGCTCGCTTCCACCCGACGCCTAGCATTCAGCTTGTGTATCGATTTTCGTGCACTCGGCCGCCATCTTGAATCTCGTGAACGAGATGCTTCGATGAGAGCTGCTTTCTGATGGTAGCCTACGCGAGCGGATTGATCCACCGTGGTTGATTCCCCCGGATTGAACGGATTTCTGCCGCTTCATCGGGTGTTTCATCCGCTGGTGATAGTGTTTTCCGTGAACGGGGATTTTTTTTTCTTCGATTTGCTTTATGCGCCGCTGCTGCTGTTGCTGCTCGAAGCAAGTGAATGTGCTGCGCTTGAGTTTTAGATTTGAGGAATGCATTGATGCGGATTATGAGTTGTGATAATTTTTCAATGTAAACTTGAGTAAAGTTTTTCAATAGTTTTATGCTGATGTTAGCATGTGTTTGTATTTTATTGATAATTAAAGGGATAATATGCTAGCCACTTGAGTTGTTTCCCCTTAGTGTGGCGTACGGTATATCTTCAATTTCACATTTAATTCTGTTATGTTCCATCAATAAGGCATCATAGCTTCAGAGAATTTATATTTTACGACGCCATTTTAGCAGAAACCTATTTTCTGCCTCCGTTCCTTGTTATTTCACATCGTTATACCAACACACACGCACAGCTGCTACTCCATCCAAGAGTGTGTTGTTGTAGAGGCGATCGATGTACGATAGCGAAGCAACGAGAAACCTTTCCTCTGCTGCTTGCCTCGCTGTTGTGTTACCTAAGTTGGTTGGTTGGTTGAATACAATTTTTCTGCCACTTTGCGGGATGCTGCTGAAGAACAATATTTGATCCTTTCAAAAGGACTTTTAATTGAAGGTCAACCGGACTGATTTGTTTACAAATGAATTCCATTGGATGTGATGAATGTTTTGATGTACATTTCAACCCGATCGGAGCACCTTTTTGGGCACCTGCGGTAAAAGCATAATTTAACACTTTTCCAACTGTGGAGGGTGTCAGCTTTCCAAAAATGTAACTTTTATCAAAATTGGTTAAATTCATCAAAATCGTCAAACAATTTCATCATCACCTACTGCAGGATGGCACGTCGCCATATTTGAACGTTTCATTCCGTCCGTTTACCCAGTCAGTGCGCTCTCTGTAACACCACCATCGCTACATAGAGAGCTCATACATTGAAAACGGCTACGGCTCGAGTTTCTGTATCGTACCTTCCTACCCATAGCTAGCAAGGTATTGGATTCGTGCGCACCAACACGAGCAAGTAGCAGCAACCCGTATCGAGCCGAGCGAACGTATTGGGAACTGTGCTATCAACTCAGCGCTTGTTGATGATGCTAGCAGTAAAAATACACACAGAAATGTGAGGGTCTTTTCCTCATTTTACGCTGCTCGACGACGACCGGGAAACATGTTTTTGCTTTGGCTGTTTCCACCACACGAACCACACCATCAGACAGAGACATCGTTTGCGTCTTGTTTCGAAATGCTTAGGTTTATTTGAACCGGACCAAGCGATGAACAAAAGATGGAGTTGTCTTTCGGTCTGTGTTTTGCGCTGGATGTCTCTTGAACGTTGTGCCGATCGGTTCTTTGAAGTCGATTTTGTTCATTTTCTGCGTTGATTGATTAGGCAGTATGTTCAATATCCTGGCAGAAAATCATTCAATCTCCCTCGTAATGTTCCTTCCGGATGTATGTATTGCGCATTTTGCACCACTTTTGACTTGCGTGCTATGTGGTTGCACGGAAAATCGAAAATGGATTTAATGGCGAGCCGTACATTCACTAAAAACAAGTCTTACTTAGAGAGTGAGTCACTTTTACTCATTCGTATGGAGAAATTTCTTAAAGCGTAGTACGCTGAGTAACCTACGCTTTTAGAAATTTTTCCATACGAATGAGTAAGAGTAACTCACTTTCTGAGTTAGCTTGGTTTTCAGTGTTCAATAACTCAGACTCAAAAACACTTTTTATAATTATTTTGTAGATATTTTCTCTTCTTATTTACAAAAATGGAAGATTTCTCCCAACGCTTCCAAAACCCAACTTATAATATTTCCACATAAGCCTAGAGCTACCTTTTTGAAACCTAGTAGTAGTAACAAGATTACTATGAACGGAGTTCCAATTTCTTGTTCAAGTCAAGTGAAATATCATTGATTAGTACTTGACCATAAATTAACTTTTAAATATCACATTGAGGGCATTCAAGTTAAATGTAACAAATATATAAAATGTTTGTATTGTAACCGTTTGGTCACAAATTCATAGGTTTTTGTCATTTATGTTATATATTCAGAACCTTCACGTTTCTTGTGCAAGAACAGCAGTATACCACAGAGTGATAGGGTTCTGTACCGCTGTTAAAATGTTGTGCCGTTACGTTATGTCCACAATAGAACTACAAACAACCATAGAAAACTAGGATGACGGGATGAAAGAAAATTGGGGAGAAGAACGGCCATTGCCCAAAATCGGCCTCTTTTAATATCAGGCGTCCGTGTGCTAAGACGCAATTTAATTAGCTAATTGCAGTGGTTGGTGTTTTAGACCGTGAACCAGGACCCCCTAGCAGCAGCTAGGTGCGCTAGGGCAAGCTAACGTTCCGGATCTCTCTTTTTATATTGGACCTCCGTTAGCACACGGCCGGCTCGTAAACTTAGAAACAGTTTCCGAGCCCAATTGTCAAGGGCCAAACGTAGGCAATAATCGTAAAGGAGTTTTCCCTTCTCGGCTTGACCAAGGTGGCCTTGCCACGGTCGGCCGATCGTGCCAACGAAGGACGACGCCTGTCATCCCACCGTCCAGCAACGCCCGCTGGCCTTTCATCCGCTCGCTTCGCCAATCTGGCGAGAGTTCCGGCCGCACAGTAGGACAGGAGTCACTGTGTCGGCCATCCCGATTCACCATCAACGGCAGCAGCGGTATGTATCGGTACAGTAAACAACGCGATTAGGCTACACGACACATATTACACGAAATTATTAACACAGAACAACACGCACATAATACACAGGGTGTCTACTACCTGGAAAAACCTGAAAAACCGGGAATTTAGAGGGAATTTTATTTTTTTCTGGAAAAACCTGGAATATTCAGGGAATTTTGGCTCCACTCAGGGAATTTTCCAATTATCACTTCATTCGTAATTCAAAAGAAGTTTTCCGTTCAGTTTCTCGAAACGTTTCTTAAGGACACTGAACTTGACAAGCATCTGACAGCTAAGACAACGTGTGCGAACGAGACAAGTTTGCTCGCTCATCGCTGATTTGTATGTGGAGGATCAAAATCGTCTTAAAAAGGAAACAGCCGAAAAAGAGAGACTGGCAACCGTCAAAAGGAAGCATACGACGCATGTATTGTATAAGAATAAGCATGCCAGACAGCAGGTCTGAGAGCCTACATAGAATTTTTTTAAGCTTCAGAGAGGGTCGGAGATGTACTGAGAAATTTGTTGAGCTTCAGGGTAGTTCGTAGATCTTGAGAAAAGAACTACAAATAAATTAAAAGTTATTAACAGAAATTTATAAAAACAAAATCACAAGAGAGGTCGTAGATCTTCAGATAAATGTTCAAAGAAATTTTCAAAACTTCAAGCAAGCAAAAATAATTTCAAATCAATTTGTAAAACTATAAGCGAAATTTTGCAAATCTTCAGGGAAATTCGCATAACTTCAGACAAGCCTAAGAATCTACAGTGAAATATAAAGTATTTCACAGAAGTTTGGAGATCCTCGAAACATTATTCAACTACAGAACTTTGAAAAAAATTACAGGACTTCTGAAAAAATCACAAGAATCTTAGAAATGTTAATGGATCTTCAGTAAAAATTTCAGAACTTCAGGGAAGTTCGGCGATTTAAAAAAAATATTTAAACGATTTCAGGAAAATTTGTAGATCTTGTGAGAGACATTTAAAACTTCAAAGAAGCTCAAATATTTTCAGATAAATTTTGACAACTTTAGGTAATCTCAAAGGAAATTTTCAGTGTAACCCGAGAGGAATTTACAAAACATCAGAGAAGTTTGCAGATCTACTGATAAATTTATTGAGCCTCAAGTTTTTTTTGTTGTAGATCTTGGGAATAGAGCTACGGAGCTTAAGACAACTTTACAGAACTTTAAAGATATTTGCAGGAATTCGAGAGAAAGTTTCACACAAATGTGAGATCTTCAGAAAAATTCGTTAAATGTCAGAAAAGTGCCTCAATTCCAAAAACAAATCGCAGCGAAGTACAAAAGTACAATATTTAGCATAACTCAATGGAAGTCGGAAATAGATAGATCTAAAGAACTTCAAAAAAGTTCGTAGACCTTAAGAGAAGTCTGTAGAACGTCAGAAAGTTAGTACGTTTTTTGAAAAATTTGCAAAATTTCAGCAAAACTTACAGATCTTCGGGAAAGTTCGCCGATCTTTAGATCAAGAATCCACAAAGAAATTTAAAGAACTTT